GTAGTATAGCAAGGACCCTCCTGAACAATGGGACGTAGTATAGCAAGGACCCTCCTGAACAATGGGACGTAGTATAGCAAGGACCCTCCTGAACAATGGGACGTAGTATAGCAAGGACCCTCCTGAACAATGGGACGTAGTATAGCAAGGACCCTCCTGAACAATGGGACGTAGTATAGCAAGGACCCTCCTGAACAATGGGACGTAGTATAGCAAGGACCCTCCTGAACAATGGGACGTAGTATAGCAAGGACCCTCCTGAACAATGGGACGTAGTATAGCAAGGACCCTCCTGAACAATGGGAAGAAGTATAGCAAGGACCCTCTTGAATAATGGGACGTAGTATAGCAGGACCCTCCTACATAATGGGATTTAGTTTAGCAGGACCCTCCTACGTAATGAGATTTAGATTAGTTGGACCCTCCTGGACAATGGGATTAGTAGGACCATCCTACATAATAGGATTTGGTTACTTTCTCTTAGGATAAACACTTCCTAGTCTGATTTTATTTTTTTTATTTTTTTTTTTAATTATCTGCTAATAACTCACAAAAAATTTCCAGTGAAAACTGAGGCAAATTTTTTTGTGTATTTCTTTTGTTTGTGATGTTTTTCAGGTTTCTTCAATCGAAACATGGATTTGAAATTCAGGAACAAAGTTTCAACTCTTTTCAGAATGATCAATCCCATGATAGCCAGAATCAGCTTCTTCAATGCATATAGAAGCCTGACTTCCTAACAGCTATTTCTATTCAGCTTCTGATCAAGAAAACATATAGTCATTCAAGAACATATTCAAATTGTCATTTTGAAGAGTGCCAAAAACTCACTCTAAGTGGCAAGTTAAGCATCGAATTCAATTCAAGATCAAGATATCAAGGTGATATCCGAAAGTCAGGACTCAAGTGAAGACTCAAGAGAAGCTGCATAGATAGGAGCTTGTACTTTTATTTTCCTTTTGACTGTTAGCTTTCATTATTTTTATGTAAGGATAGGAACTGCAACTTGGAGCCTCGATAAAACCTCACTTAACTTCAAACTCACCACCTCATCTCTTCGAACTACATGTGACCTGATTCCCCTATAACCCGAGATATGTAGGATGTCCAAAACTAGGACTCGGTCGCATATTTTTCTTTTCGAATAAGAGTCCGTTCAAAACTTGTCACGTTGTCTACTTCTTTGTCTGAAAACTCTTCGTGTTTCCAGTCAAAGAGGGGCAAACTGTAGACACGTAATTTTTGACCGAATTTAAGGTATTACACCATTTTTAGTACATAAATATTGCTTTTATATATAAATTAAATATTTTATTTTTTTCATCGTATTTTTGTAAGTTTATTTTAGAAGATTGAAAAACTACAAAAAATATATGGTTTCTTTTAATTTAAATTTTAATAAATCAGCTAGTATTTCCTAATTATATTTTTAGACTAGCTATTTGACTTTTGTTAGTTTAAAAAATAATTAAATAATATTCTTATTATATTATATTATTTTATAAAATAAAGATAAAAAATAAACCTAAAACTAACCTACACTACCCCATTAACCCCTTATACTACTACCCACTCCACTCACAACCCCACAGTCCCACATTAATCCATCACTCCCCTCAACCACACACACGTACCACACACTACTAAACATCAACAACACACCCCTTCAACCCATATACACAGAGTCACAAAAAACGAAGAAGGACGACACTCAAGAAAACAAAAAGAAAAACTTTCCATTTTATTTCATTATCCTCTTAAAAATTCACCAACACATTCACATTCCTCTTCCTTTCTCATTATTATTTTCATATAAACACCATACATATACCACCACACACACCTACAAAATTTGTGGGTATTCTAATTGAGCTTCAGTTAAGATTTTGCGGTATTCAACTTTACCTTATCTTTCTATTTATTTATTTATGGAATTTGATGTAATTTTATGACAAGTTCTTTTTATATTTTGTTTCATTCATGAATTTGATTGGGATGATTAATTTGTTAGTTGTTATATCTCTATTTCATGAATAAGGTAGCTTTAAT